TGCTGAATAGAGCCAAAATATAGTAATATGGGTTAAATATATGGGTCAGCAATATATGATAAGGCCCTCTGTTACTTACATGTGGTAAATCTGTGTGAGAAACAGAAGCAGATATTAGGAGGAAAAAACTAGAAGATGAAAGAGGGGGAGTGCAGGGGGAAGGAAAGTGACGGAGACGGAAGAAGAGAAAGGGGGCTTGTATATCGACAGCCACGAGCATCAGTAGCGGTGAGTTGTCAACACTTGCCCGGCCAATACTGACCAATTGATGATCAATCCTCCTCATGGGAGACCTGCCAGAGGCAAACACAATCAATCCTCCTTTATTTGTCAGACCTTCGAGCGATGCTAAAGGGGGGGGCGCTGCTCGATTCAAACCAACAGCAACAACTTGTTTTCGTTTCCTCTGTTCAAACTGCCTCTAAGCATAGTAAAAATGTCTTCACCCATTGATGACGCAGTCCCCTGTGGAACCATCAGTAACAAATGTCACCCTGTTTTGATTTGCAATTGTAGCATCACTTACAACCTAATAAGTGCTACTACTAACGATACCATGTTTATATTGGCAGAGAGAACTTAACGCACCGCAGCTTCAGAAAACAGATGAAAATGGACAAAACAACCTCACCCACCCACACAACACATCTTACATACATTCATGTTTAGAAATACCTCACCACCAGCATTCGTGTCATACAAACACACAAATAAAGAAACGCTGCATTTAAACACGACAGGTGTTTCCAGAGGATGCATTATTATTGGAGATACTAGCTATACCCATATAGTCTGTTCCAATAACCACACAGTATTTGCCAGTAGTCAAGTGCCGTCTTGTGTGAAGCATTTCTGGTAACTGCCAACCCCATTAAAACCGCAAGTTTATCAAGGCTCACAGGGATAAACTTGATTAATGAGATTATATTATTATTCATGCTCAAGCTCAGATGCTTTGTTGTCTTTACTTAATTTCTACATAATGAACAAATAAGTAGGATCAACCATACAGTATTACAGTTATAATCAGATTGCAGTGAAAACACACATTCGGGGTCTGGGATATGTTATACAATGGATAAAACAATAAAAGTTAGTTCTCTAGAAGTATGTACGCCCTACTGAATAAAAGAGATGCGATATAATATTACATTGAATTGGATTGGTAATAATAAATGTTTATGTTGACATTGTAAGATATTAAATGCTTTTATTATCAGTCTCATCAAAAAGGAAATATTTTCGATAAGCATCTGTGGCGGTTTAACCATAATTCCCTAGTTTTGAAGCAAATAATATTCAAACTGAATTTAACATGCCATAAACTTTTTTGTTATTGTCAGCCCTAAAATAAGCTTATAGCTGCATACTGCCAACAACTGGCAGCTGTGGCGCAGTAGATGAATTGTGGAACCCACTTGCTTACTACCTGGAGGCACATGAACGTGGACTTAAATGCTTAAGACAATAATTGCCGGTATTGGGACAGGTAGCCACTTCAGCCTTTTACTAATTACAAGCATGTTTATCAGTGCTTGTTGTAACTCCTGTGTATTGTGTATACATATGACTAACTACTTGTGTTCCTACAGATTTTGTCTAAATATGAAATGACTGACAGCTGGACGAACATGCAATTGAGCAATCAGATGCAAAGACAGCTGTTTTGTAGTGCTTTACATTTCATTATATTAAGACTGAATGGTTGTTTAACCTGTTTCTACTGACTGTAGTTCAGACAATAGTTTTTCCTTTTATTGAAGGGATGAACAGAGTTAACCTTCAAGACTTGAAGTGGCATGGCCCACTTCTACAACACACACATCAATAATGGGTCAACAGATGCACTGAGTGGTCAGGAGGTTAGCAATGCCTGCACCAATCAATAAACCCTGACCACTGGAGACCACTGTGGTATGTCTACAGTTACACAAGTCTATAGGAAACAAACACCTCTGTAGAGTAGTATTTCAATCACAGGAAATAAAATATATTGAAAGTAATCTGCTTAGCTACAGACTCACAACCTAATGTGCGCCATTATTTTGTCCACCCCCAGTCAAAGTGGCGTGCTCAATGAGAAAAAAGCACATAGCTTGTGAACCATTTGTGAACTGTTAAAACACACTTGTTAAGGGGTGACTATCTGCTTTGTGGTAAATTATTTTTCACTCCATTTTAAAGTTAAGAGGTGAGAAATTGTTATATAAAGCCAAATTAACCCTGTGGGATGCTGGGCGAAGCCTGCTGATCCGTTGGTCTAATCAGAACTCCTTAAGTCCACTCAACTGGTATTACCAGCTGAGGCTAAATGGGAAAACCAATGAGCAATTAAAATATGTCATCCAATTATTTCCTGTGTTTGTATATTATTCTTTTAGTTTCTTACAGAATAGTGGGTCATTTGGTTGATATGCAGCCACCTAATTGCCAAAAGGTTTTCCTACTGTGAGTCAAATTAAATCCACCAAGCTGAACCAAACCATAGCAAACCGACTGCACAGGATCAAATCACATGCCAAAGAAATGAAGGAAAAAGGTATTTAGGACACCAGATTATTTGGTTTATCTTACAGTCTGCTGAAAGAAAATACATTTAAACTGGTTGTTAAAAGGGTTTGTGGGGGAAACTTTTTTTAGCATGGAGATTCTTTTTGGTAGATTTAGTATCAGAAAGTAGTCAAATACCATATGATGTTTTTTAGATTGTGGTAATGATATAAAACATTTGTCCAAACATAAGAAATAACATAGCAGTCTAGCCGCCCACCCTTGGCAAACCAGAGTTAACTGTATCCCCCTAAACTCAGATTGCAGTAGATGTTTGGCTGTGGGCTGCCCGCTGTCATTCAGATTCTGTAGGGTAGATTGCAGGGTCAAAAAGAGGTTTTGAGAGCACCGCTGTAGTGAATGCCAATCAACTATCAGAGCACTGCGAACATGAGCCTGGAGTGAGGTTGTAGGCATGCATGCAACCAATCCCAGAAACCGAGCAAGGAAATTTACATAGTGGTTAGCATTCAGCTGCCAAGTGTGAGCGATGATACTGAAGGCAGTGGGGAAATACTTCACCATTCTGACTGACCTCAAAACTGTGCTACTACAGCTCAGGTTTAGACTGAGGTACTGGGTGGGCAATAAGCGTTTATTAAATACCTGATATAGGTGATTACAATGATAATGCTGCAAATCACAGCTCCATACAACAGACTGCAAGCAGCATGAAAGCTTTTCCTTTTTTATTTAATTGTTCATCAGTGAAAATTAATTTCAGTGACTAGAGTTTCCCCTGTGAGTAGGTAAGGTAGGTAACCCTCCAGTAATAAACCGAAAAGTGTAACCGAATGTAATCAGTCCAAATTACAATAGCTAGTAGAAAGACTGAAAAACAACAAGCAGCACTGAACAATCATATCAGCCCAGCAATATCCAGAACATCTTGGAGCGAGTCTCTATGCCCTCCCTGAACTTTTGTATCCAAAATCATACAAGCTGCTGTCCTTCTAGCCTGCCAATGCCTGTCTGCTATTTCCATAGTTTTGGAGATTAACCAAGCCTGAAAGGCCTTTTCCTTCAGCTTGACAACTTCCCTCACCTCTGTTGTCCATCAGCTGGATCTTGGGTGGCCACCACAACAAACACAGGTGACCACAACTCTGGCCACAAGTCAGAGCAGGGGATAAAGCTTTGAATATAATGAACTTGGACTTCTTGTCTCCAACCTTCTTGCAGATGCAGAAGAAAATCTTCTGGAGGTGAGAGTTGTAGACCTTGCACACTCAGCCAGATTTGATTTGGTTTTAACAGGTCTTTCTGGCAGCAACCTTATCTGCCTGTTGGTGACCAGTTGGGAGGTCTGCTGCTCTTTTCATCTGAATCTCTGAGATATACATCCAAAGATCTGAGGATACAACTACACAATCAACCATTGCTCTTTGGCTCAAGGTGTTCTGGTACCTTGCCCATACACAAAATCACACCATGCTAGCAGGGACTAGATACTCCTGAGAAATACACCACATGATTGCTATGATGGCCAGTCCAGGACTAGAACAGACGCTCATTGGTAAAGCACCACTGGGGTTTAGATCAGGCAGGGCTGTTCCTCCCAAGGACCTCAGTGTCGATGTCCCTCAACAGAACTATAGAGTCCCTTGGCAGCACCCTCTCTATGACTGTCCAACAGACTCCAAATCAAAGCCTTCCTTTCCATTACATGCAGTTGCTCAAACATTACCATATTTTTTTCTCTGGGGAACTCCAACACAATGTAGCTCACAAGGGGCTCATGAGTATGTCCAAATGTACACCGAGTCAGAAAAAAGAGAAAATTCATTCCCAACTGTATCTAGCTGGTATCACTTCACCTCCCATATGACTCTACTAGAGAGGTAACTTTCCACATCCTGAGAGACATACATATTCTGTGCTCAGGGTCACCTGAGACTGAATTAGAAGTCTGTACCAGAAGCACAAGAACCAAAACACTCCTGATGATATCATCAAGGAAACTTGAGGTCTGAGAAAACTCCTTCAGGTCTGCCTACATATAGTGAATAAACTGTCACAGTGAACACAGATCACAGGAAAAACCAAATGAATTCTGGGTGGTGGGTGGATTTTCACTCAAATTTTATATACTGGGCTATCATTCAATCACTCATTATATCACTCAGCCATTTTATTATGCCTTCATCCTTCAGGCTATTCATTTATTTAACATTAATATTCATGAAAACCAAAATCAACTTTATATGATTCTGTCAAGCATCTTTTTAATTAACATCCTGAAAAATGTAAATTACCTCATAAACATTAGCAACACAGGCTGGATCAAGCACTGAGCATACATATAACTGCATGTGCAAACACACAGACGTGCAGAAATACACACTGATATACACACAATATGAAAAATGACCTCCAGTCTGAAAAATGAACTGAACAAAGCAGCAACTTAATACCAAAACTACACACACACACACACATCTGCTACTCACCCTCTCTAGGTCTTGTCGGAGGTGTGTGAAGAGTTTGAGGCGTCTGTAAAGGACATCCTGCTCCTGCTGGGCCAGGTTGTCCACCTCATCCCTCTTTAATGTCACCAGAGGTCGATTAAAGTTGGCCTTCCTCTTCAACTTCCAGAACTGATACAAGAAGTCCACCTTGAAGAGGAGACAAAATATTCCCATATTTTAAAATTATTATGTTCTTACGAGTGGATTGAGACATCAATGGCCTCAAATGAAACTGAGAAGAAACTTAACTAAACAACATTATTCCACTGAGGATCTGTTATAGATTCATCATTTTGTCTTCTTTATTCTCTTAACTGTTGACCAATAGCATCCATGGCAAATTTATATGGTACATCTACAAGGCTTGTTTTGTCTCATTTCAAAGTTACTTTTCGAGGAAGGAATTTATGCCATATGAATATGGCTAGAACCATAATCCAAAAGATTGAAATCACTTTAATTTACATCAAGAAGAACATAGTTCTATTACACTTATTAGTATTTTAAACTGCTGTGAATGTAATTACTAATAGTAATTATTCCATTAAAGCATGCTACTAAGTTTTTATCCCTATGCATAAAAAGCAGTTTGCTTACAGTACACTTTCTTTATAGTGAAAAAAAGCTCTTGCCTGCAGCCACAACCCTCTTTGGAAAGCAGAGACCAGTAAATCACGGTGCATTCTAAACAAATGCCTGTGATTTATCAGACAGTTTACCTGTGAATAGGGAGCACTTTACTTGACGCACTGGAGCTGGCATTCTAAATGCAACTCATCAATACCACATCTGATTACATTTAATTAATTGTGGAAGCCAAACTCTTCATCTTGACTAATATATGATTAACTGTGTATGCAAAATACTAGGTAAAGATCAGAATAATGTGTGTATGCAGGCAAAATAGAGAATAAATTTAACATATTTAAAATGGACAAAAAAGTTCTTGGTAGACCGAAATAGAACTTTCCATTTAATTCACAGTTCGTTGAAGAACATAGAACAATGTGTCCTGAGATACCCTGCTGTACGTCGCTGTCACAGTATTTGCATACTTCTTGCCTGTTAGCAAGTGTTGCTATTCTGACCTGTCTCATCAGGAAGCTGTTTTCAGTGTGTCAGCCCTGTCTGCAGGTTTCATACTTTATTTATGCCTGACTCACTGTCTGGAGGAGTAAGTTACTTTTAGTTACAGATTGAGATGTAGCTATTACAGCGAAGGACAAGTATATGGTATAGTTTCTTATTATTTCATATGACAAAAAAAACCCGACCGGTGTTTTTATGTTTTTTGTTTTTTTATGCATCTGTTCGTCATCGTCGTGTATTGTTGATTGTTGTTTATTTTATGTCTTGTTGATTGTTTATTTTATGTCTTGTTGATTGTTTATTTTATGTCTTTTCTATTATATAGAAAATAATTTTTTTTATTGC